CTTGCTCCACTGTCCAATATGTTTGTGACTATAACATTAAGCTATTTTTTAATTCATGCCTTTAGACCTCTTTTGTAAACTTTGGTAAGCCAGCAAGATCCTTAACCTTCTTTGAAATAATCCAAAACTACATGTCTTTTTAAACCTTGTTACTTCAAATTTTGCAAAAAGGTTAATCGTCATCTGATTTCAGCAAAGTAGGATCATAAAGTGCCTAGTTTGCTGCGAACCTGGACATGGAAAACGGTAGAAGCTTTTTGGCAAAACAGTATCTTAATTTATTTTTCCATATTCTTTAATGACTCTATGTTGTAACGTTTCACATAAGCAATAATAAAACCTATCAGGATTCTGCTTATGCATTAAGTATATATCCAGAAATAGTGATTGAACTAGATATGATGAAATAAGTTGGAGTAAGGTTCACACGTAAAAGATTTGAAATAGATCCCTTAGCATATATAGATTATTATACAAAAAGCTAAAGAAGTCCATGACCAATGTTATTCACTCTCTCTCGCAATCTCATTTTCCCCACAATTCTGGTCCAATTCATATCATAGATGACATCCTCAATTTATTCATTTTGTCTTTTAAGCACAATATATCTCTCTACAGTTATATATAGAGCACTTGTCATTCATTATTTAACCAAGACAACAAGCTAGTGAACTATGTCTATCAGAGTAATTATTTGTTGAAATTTTCTTGGCGTTTCTCCGAATGCTTCATAGAATAGACAATTAGTTATTACAAGTTAAGGATAGTTGCTGTTCAATGAAGTGTTTGGGGGAACTCTTGGAGTTGAATCAACACCGATCTACAAAGTATACGAAATTCATTTTCTTACATGATTTTGGTTTCTATTAGCTAGTTGAATTACTAGCCTCACCTCTTATAATTAGCACAGCCCATAACATTATTAGTGATATTATAAGAAAACATTACTAGAAATACTCTATTTTCCTGCGTTTTTACCTGCGGATTTTGACAAACTTTCTGCAGAAAACGTTTTACCTGCGACTCTTCCTGCTATTTTCTGTTCTCAGCTAAAACCTTCGTGACTAATTTAATTAGCAGGTAAAGTCGTGGGAAAATGTAGCAGGTAAAGTAGATAAATTCGCAGATAACACCGCTGGTAATTGAAATTTTCGCAGGTAAATTCGCAAGTATTTCTCTCTCAGGTTTTTAATTTTTATCATTAATTGTGTTTAATGCATATTTAAAATATTATAATAATTGTTAAATATCAAAGTAACAATAATATAAAAATAAAAATCTAATTTGAATAAGACAATGCAACACTAATCACATTCAAATTTTTAAAGCAACTAAACATTACTATATAGTCAATAACAAGTACTTCTAGAGTTATATTACTAAAAATGACACAATCAAGTTACTAATAATCACTTTTCCAATCAAATTAATAAGAAAAAACAATCCAAATCAAAATTCACTACTAATGTGTTCACTATTGTCTTCATCTGATTCAACAACATCATCTTCACTTGAATTATCAGTTCCATTATTGGCTTGAGTACACACCTAGTATTATTCTGAGCAAAGTCCAATATTTGATGGGTGAAAGAATTTAAATTTTCTCCGAGTGCGGAATTTGATTGCACACCCGCATCAATCTCATGCCCGTCATTTGAATCTTGAGAATCAAGAACAACAGAGTCTGCAATCTCCTCAAGTGCTATCTTGTTTGGAATGTTAGACTCCTTCTCTAGAGGCTGGTCTTCAAGAATGCCTGAATCGAATCTGTCCCAAGGTATACTAGCAGTTTTTGATAATGAAAGGTCATCGACAGATTCCACAAAATTCATAGAGAATCTCTGCTGTGTTGTTTCTGGATCTCTATGATCTTTACCTATATATGATGTGGATGGAAAATCCGATGCCAAAGTGTCTACTTGAGAATTTGTTCTCACTATTGTTATAGCATTTTCATTACCAAACACTTCAGTTTCCTGCATCAAAGGATACGTCAAGTTCTACGGATGGTCGACAGAAAAATGCGTGTGGCTTCATGGTAGATTGAATGTCAAGTAGAATGCCTAAAAACCCGTTCCAACAAAGATGGAATATACTACAGATAAATAGCTATGAAATAATTACAGTATTCAATCAAAGCAATGACTAAAATACCTCTATTGGTGACATGAATCCTCTTTGATGAGACACTGACATCTGCCGACAATTGAAATATGGAGATACAACTGGTAGTTGCAAATCCTTGAAAATAGATTCAGGTTCCCTCACCCATGATGCAGCTCTTACGGGTGAAACAATTGGGAACTGAATATCAGTCTCAGTAGAGCCATTAGAAGGATTCCCATCCCACATAATAGGATAACAACTTGCTCTAGATGGGAGGGGCTTGCAAAGAACTATTTTTAAATATATTATAAATTAATTTCTGTATATGAGATCTTTTCAGAGAAGCCTCAAGCGGAGGGAACCAATTACTAGTCAACTGAATGAAAAAAATTCAAATGTGAGTCAACTGAAAGCCAGTTTATTCATAAGTATGATTGAGCAGTAGCACCAGACACAATCTGATGCGACAACTTCGAGTAAAAAATATAATACGACAGTGTATGCAACATTTTAAGCATACAAGTGCCTTACAACCGTCAGGAGAAAGGGCGTGAGGGAAAAGAATGAAGTATCACAATAAAAGTATAACTCGTGCATTTATGTAATAAATTCTGCACAAAGGAACAATTATACATTATTGCTTACGATCCATGTATATTATGCGATTAAACGGACTATCTAGTAAAATACTTAAACAATGTTTGTGACCAACATATTCAGAAAATGCTATTTCAGTTGCAGTTTACTTCCTAAATCCATGAAAAAATAGAGGATCATAGTAGCAAAAATATCGTCATAGCAGTTTTCTAATCCAATGGAGTTGGATTAGAAAATCATGAATGGTAGATACCAATAACAATAGTGATGCTTGAAATATAAGATTAAAATGAAGACTCAACATCATATCATTGAAATTTCAAAATGAGACTATATCACATAGATTCATGTTTTAGTCCAATACAAAGTCACTCACCAAATTGGAGTACTTCGTTATATTGAAAGGGTTAAATTTGATAGGAGCTTCCTCCAGAAAACATTCCACGTAGTGAAGCAAAAATAGACCACAATCATACAAGTCCCCTTGCTGAGGAAGATGGAAAAAAATGGAAGGAAAAACAAAAGTCAATAAAAAGTTGAACCGAATTTGTTAGATTCATATGGAGAGAGGCTACCTCTAGTGAGATGAACCGTATTTGTAAAAACTTAGAAGAAACGTCATCCACCATATTGGGGTGTCTCTCCTTCCATTCATCACACAGATAGTTGTCATTATACAATATATGGAAGAAAGAAGTGTTAGACTCTACGATGACAGAAAACAAACTCAATTCACTCAAACAAGCATTTACTTTGTTAGTTTTATTTTTACTATATTGGGTTAATACAATTTTCTGCAGTGGCTCAATGAAATAACTCAGCCAAAAAAGCCTTGTAAACCATCCAGACTCATGGTTCTTCAGAAAAAATTTTAATACAAGCTAACATCAATTATGAAACTTCCAATGCAATGCCTCAATAACTTGCAAGGTAACCATTAGTTTAATATAACGATGAATGACATTGACCATCGACAAGGACGAGTTGTTTGTCAGATTCTGTTTATCAGTGATCAGCATACTGGCAAAAGTCGCCAGCCACTCTTAACTGTTGTCAGGTGTAGGTGACAAGACTTGTGACTAATGAAGTTGACCAAACTCAACAGTCAAACTATTGGCAATAACAGAGGAAGAATTTACTGCCGTGCAAATTTGTATCAGATTTGTTGTTGTCGTCGTTATTCTTTGTGAGTTTCATAGTCTTCTCTGAGTTCTTAGGATGTATCATACCAGAACCGTACACGGTGATTGTATTTCCTTTCTTTACTATTGTTGTAGGTCCACGTTTTACTACTGCAGTATCATCTTCAAATGTCCTTATTCTCCAACTCGCATTGGTATGCGGAAAAAAACTCGTTCTGTGTCGAGTTTGGCTTAATTATGTATGGAACAATCTTTTCATTAGGATAAATCAAAGGTGAAGGTTTAGAATCTGAATGATTATTGAAACCCCAAGATGATCGTTTTGGTTTTGCATAAGGAACCTTCGGATCAGGAGACTCGTATAATCTTCTCCTTGTGTGAGAATGACGAGATTCTTCGCAATCAGAAGTTAAAGACCAATTATTTTATGTCCTACTTTTAACCATATTATCCGAGTTCTTTCTGGTAGACCAATTATCTCTCTCCTACTTTTAGCCATATTATCTGAGTTCTTTCCAGTAGAGTTCTTCGAATTCGGCGTGGAGTATTGTGATGACATAGTCTTCCCTAAAAATCTCTGACTTATGGAAATGCTGAGTACTCTCCAAGAGTACCAAATATCCTCTTAAGTCCTACTAGACTCCAAATAATTGATGCATCAAAGAAAACACGGTCACTCGGACATGTCCACGGGCTACCTTCGGGAAGAAGATCTTCATGACATATGTTTTTGACAGATTCTAGCAGCCACCATGCTACACAAATGTTGATAGTTCCAACAAGCATTGTCCTAATGAACTAAATAATTTTTAACACAACAAATACATTAGATAACATATAAGAAAGGTACATGCTAGTAAAACCTTGCAAACACAATTATAACAGTTGAAAAAATAAATATACCTACACTAAGAACATTGACCTTGGAGGGATTTTCATATAATATCCGAGCTTGAAATTGCTAAGGAACGAAACAGCCTGAGCCATGCTTATGTAGCCATAGGTTTTAAAGCATACATTTGCAATTGGTCTTCCAGGGTAAGAGTTTATGCGCCGGAGACTGTCGGATACGTGGTGGTTGATAATGAAGGAAGGTGTGCCGCTTCCACATCGACCGGTGGTTTAATGAACAAAATGAGTGGTTGAATCGGTGATTCACCATTGATAGGTGCTGGCATAATTCAAAGTTGTCACCGGCTTCCTGCGAGAATATGTTTGTGCGTATTCCAACCCTTCACGCCAAACGGTTACCTCTAATACCTGTGGAGTTAGACAACAAAGAGAGTCTTTAGAAAACACTGATAATTAATTGAAACAAGGAACGAAACCTCAGACTGAAAACAAATATAAATGCGATAGCATTAAGTTTTACCATCTAAATATATGATATATGATATACGAAGGATATGAGTATTTGTCAAGATGTCTTATAATGTAAGTCGTACATCAAATTTGATATTCAAAGCTTCTGATATACATTGCAAAGTTCAAGACAGAAAAGAACGAGAATTGTAAGGAAGACGTACCTCAGACAAGGCATTAACAACAGATAAGCCAACACCATGTAAACCTCCGGAAACAGAGTAGCCACTATTAACACCACCAAATTTTCCACCAGCATGCAAGATCTACAAAGTTCGTGAAAGTAATTAATTTGTATCCAATTAAAAGGTATACAAAAAGATTAAGCCCAAAAAAATATAAACCTAAGGCTTGTTAATATTTTCTTGTTAATTACTCAGTAATTTTTAAAAGGTCTGAAGCATTTCCTTACATAATTTACTTTTTTGATACAAAAGCATAAATGATTTAATTAAAATTCAATTGTACAGTATCAAAAGAACTATGTTGCAATGACTATTGACCTTCAAGAACGTACAAAATCAATTTCTTCTAAACTCCTATTCAAGTAAATGAAAAAATTACCGTCAACACTGTCTCTAAGGAAGACAATACTACATCAGGTTCCAGAACAAATCCTGATTTCATAATCACCCCATCACATACAATAGCATGCCTATGGTGACATTGTCCCATATATAACACCCCTCTATGTGTACATTTGGTCCAATTTTACATCATCCTCCAACAATGGAATTTAATATCTTAGTGTTGTTGCCAATTTTGGTGTCGGATCCTATAATAGAGAATAGGCCGACAACAGCAGATTGTGATTGCAAAATTTTTGAAAGGGGAGAAAGGAATTTGTCAAGATAGTCAACATTAAATTAACGGAAACAAAATATGTCAAATTAGTTTTGACCCAACAATCCACAAGGGTCCTAATACAATAATTACTTGCTGAATAAAATATTCAAAAAACTGAAGTTTATACGAAATGAACAACCGCATGAATAAAGCAAACAAGCAAACAGCCAATATAATAACACACTATTTTATTATTTAATGTTATAATCTTTTTGCTAGCATACCAATCAACACCAAAATTTCCATCCATACCTGAGCCACGATATATTCCCTGTCTTTCAAACTTAGTAGTTGTGTTGCCAAAATTCATAACATCAGGGACCAGTAGCCATACTTCTACATGTGTGTGTTACAGGGCCTGCCTGTAGAATACCACAAAAAATCAGCAACATGAACTTCTCCCTCACTATGAATGAACTTTTTTTTTGGGTCAAATAATATAACTACTTGATTTTTCTTTTGCATTTTTCTAAGAGACATTATTCTAAGAGAAATTGTTAACATACCAAATGGAAATAGAATCTAACGCAACTGTTGGATTAGAAAGCAACCCTGATATGAGTACTAGTCCTTGATTGTACCATATCTCCAAACTACAAAAACATACATTTCATATTTTTAAAATATATAAACTCGATAGGATCGTGTTCGACCACACATCTTAAACATATGCTCAAAGCTACGACGAGTGAAAGCAAGGATATAGTCATACCATAACATGACAGTAGAAGCAACTGTTAGCTTGATGTAAGGTCGGATTCTAACGAATGCTCTCTTAGTGAAACCCGTCCATGTTTTGTGTCTTTAAATCTTTGAAAAACTCTCTGCATTACTAATGAAAGAGCTGCAGGAGCACCAATAGACCACAATTTCAGGTATTGCTGGGCTAAGGAGTTTCCATCAAACATGTAGAGTGCATCAAAGTAAAACACTATGAGACATTTCATCAAACATTTAGAGTGTGATAAAGGAATTTCAAAAAATATATTAAAAACACTATGAGACATTTCTTCAAACATTTAGAGTGCATCAAAGTAAAAGGCTTCAATTCTATTAGTAAGAAATACAATAAAAAAGAAGAATATGTGAAGTGTGGACAAGATAAACATACCAAATTAAGAATGAGAGGACAATCATTGCCGTTGTAAACATGAATTTTCATTTGGCAGAAAGTTGAAAAGTGGTGAATCTCATATTTGTTTCATATGACATTAATCGTTTTTCCTTTTACATGATAAATTGGCGTCTTGCTTTGGTTTCAGTTTAGGATTTACAAATTTGTGGTTCATGATTTAAAAAAGACCTTTAACTTTTGAAATAGAGACAGAGGATAAGGGATTGGATGTTTGGAACAAGTTGATTTGTATGATTTTTGGAACGATTGGATTTTTTTAGAAGTTTCAGGAAGAATGAATCAGTGAGAGGTTGGGTTTTTTTATTACATTTGTTTTTAGTTTTGTGATAATATAAAGTGGCATTGTTTTTTTTTAATAAGATATTTTTTAATCAACATTTTTAAATCAATATTAAGAAAAGTACAGTATTTTTCTAAAATTTCATTTGACACATGTGGTTTTCAAATAAAAAATTGCGACGTTTACTAGAAATTGTCACATGAACGGCCTCAAAACACACATTGGGACAATTGGAATCCAACCGTCGTAACTTAAGTGTCATAATTACTCCAAAACTTTAGGATGGTAAATCACTATTTTTATTTTATTTTATCATCTTTTAAATTGTAAAATTGAATTGCAAGTTAATAAATTGATCTCTAACATAATAATCTAGTTATTTCACCAAAATATTTTTGATACACGAAACGAATAAAAAGATTATATATAATATAAAAATATATTTTATCAATTGAATAAAAGGGTTATTTTATTATCTTTTTAAATTTTAAATTTTAAAAAAATTATAAGTTGAAGGATTACACATCAATTATATCATAAACTTATATTTTTTATTTTTCTAATTTTTACAACAATAAAAAAATATTAAATAAATAAATCTTCTTTAAGAAATAAATAAAAAAAACTCAATTAATATTATAAAACTTTCTTAAGAAAAACAAAGGTTTAATATAAAATTAAAAAATATCTCAACAACATTTTCTTGGAATCAATATGTGTTTTATGATTTTATTTATTAATCGTAAAAATATAATAAAAATTAAAAATAAACTAAATAATTCGAAGCAAAAGTCGCAGAAAGGTTTACAGCAAATTCCGCAGCAAAAGTCGCAGAAAGGTTTACAGCAAATTCCGCAACAAAACCTGCGATAACTCTAGAGAATTTTGTGGTTTCAATGCATAACTAATTCCTGCGAAATAATTCACAGTGAAATCCGCAGGAAATTTATATTTTATTTTTAAATCCAAAATCGCAGCTAAAGTCTCAGGAATTCCTGCAAAGTTTTCTCCTAATGTATTTTTAATGTTTCACAATATAAAGGCGCAAGTGAAATCGCAGGTGTTGCTGCGGAACTTTTCCACAATAAAATCCAGGTTTAGTTTTGGTAGAGTTATTTAGGTGGCCAACGAACCCAGGTTTAGTTTTGGTAGAGTTATTTAGGTGGTTAAAAACCTCAAAGGCCACTATAGTATAATCACTGACCAGTCTTTTACGTCCAAAGGCGCTCTAATAGTAGGGAGAATATGCTTGATTTTGTTAGCAATAGTTTGACTAATAATTTTCATAATCACATTACACAAAGCGATAAACCTAAAATCCGTGGGTTTGATGGGGTTCTTTATTTTTGGAATCAGACTAATGGAAGTCTTGTGTGTAACACCCCGTTTCTCAAATATAAAATAAATGCAATTTAAATCAAAACAAATATCAGAGTTTCCACACAACACAGAATGTCACAGAACAGAATCTCAACAAAACATTTCATTTATGTGAATTCAACAATAAGCAGCGAAAATCATTCTATAGATATATATACATATAATCATCGTGTACAACAATATTCGGCCATCCACCCAAAATATACAAAATATATCCATCCAAAATGATTCATCTCAACATGTTACGACACGGAGTCACAACAAAAATCATCAGATAAACAAATAACTCCCCAAGCCCCAGTGTTACGTATCAAAGCATCCCTACGACAGGACTCGCCATAATCCAAACTAGTTACGCACCGGGATAATCAGTACTTCCGAAGAAGCACAGACCACAGCAAAAGCAAGGGGTGAGAAGTCACGATCAAAATATAACGGTAATAATGTGCATGAATAAAAGGCAGTAAATCACACAATTATCGTTCACATACATCGAGTCGGACCTACTGTCCCACACCAACATAGCATATAAAACAATGCAACATAGGCAAGTCAAACCATGATATGCGGTACCGACTCAACAATAGCAACGATGGGCACCGGACTATCAACCCTTCCCGAAGGAACACATCATCATCACCGATGGGCACCAAGCCATCACCCTCCACACAGGAGCACATCATAAACAGGATAGATGATCACTCACGCTCCCCTGAGACATGATATATCCCACACAATCACCGATGGGCACCAGGCCATCACCCTCCACACAAGAGCACATTATCACTACCGATGGACACTAGGCCATCACCCTCCACACAGGAGCACATCATCACACCATGCTATGCATAACCCCAATGCACAACACACAACATCAGATACACTAAGTGTACACAATTCCACTGATCACATTTCATCACACATCATATATATATATATATATATATATATATATATATATATATATATATATATATATATATATATATATATATATATATATATATATATATATATATATATATATATATATATATATATATATATATATATCAGACATCACCACATTCATACGCAATCACATGCACCGAATTCAATCATTTAAATTAAACGAATATTACAGAAATCATATTTCACACCACACATACATTCCCCATAGTTCAATACCAATATCACAATCAACCATGACCAACAAGGCTCCAACATCACGAGAGAACAGAACAGCACAACACAAAAATACAAAAACACTGTCATGCTCGCGGGCTCACTCGCTAGGCGAAGCATCAGTGAATGCTCGCTACTTGCTCGCTCAGCGAACTCCCTAGCGAAGCCAGACAACGGCTACTGGAATCATTCACTACCCAGTTCGCCCAGAGAATCCCCAGCGAAGATTCGCTACTCGCTCGCCCAACGAACCAGCTGGCGAACGTCTGGGATTTCAGAAAAGTAACACTGCTCAGAGTCGGCAAAAAGCTCCGAACTCAACTGATTCTGCTCAAACCAGTTCCCATCATATCATTCCAATATTCTACAACCTAGCTACATAATCTATCTTCGATTTAACCCGATTAAATGTCATCTTTACTCAATTAATCAACTTCAGCATAAAACTTCGAACTACCCGAAAACACCCAAATCGATCAAACAGCACATGCAATGGTTTTAACATATCATCAACAACTCAGAATTCACAACACATATCAACAAAATCATCACAACCTATTGGGGTTAGGGAAATCTCCTTTCTACCTAGTATTCATGCAATACCGAATTTTAACCGATTCTTCCCTCCCCCCCCTTACCTCGATAACTCGATCAAGTTGTAGAAGATTCAGAAATCCAAGCTTTCCTCTTCCTCCTTGATCCTTCTATGCAAAACCCTCTTCCACTTGACTTGTTCTTCCTCTTCTCTTCTTCTTCCAACTTTTCTCTCCTTCTATCGTGTTCTCTTCCTTCCAATTCCAAAATACCCCTTATTCCAATATTCTTCTTATTTCTTAATAATAATAATATCAATAATAATAATAATAATAA